TAACCTTAAATGTAAGTGGCTTAAATGTTCCAACCAAAAGACATAGGGTAGCTGATTGGATAAGGAAACATGACCCATATATATGCTGTTTACAAGAGACGGACCTCAGAACAAAAAATTCACACAGAATGAAAGAGAAGAGATGGAAAAAATAATGCATGAAAAAAAGGTGGGATAATTATACTCATATCAGACAGAACAGACTTCAGAATGAAGGCCACAAAAAGAGACAAACCAAGTCACTTCATAATACTAAAAGGATCAATACAATAAAAGAATATAACCCTGGTCAATGTATATGGACTCAATATAAGAACACCCAAATATATATATGTAAAAAAACTTCCAGAGGCCTTCAGTGGAGAGAGAGCACTAACATCATAGTAGGGGACCATCACTGACATCACTGGATATATCTAGAGAAAATATGAACATGGAAACAGTGGGTCCAATTGATACATTAGATCAAATGGATTTAATTGATATTTACAGAACATTTCACCCTCAAACTACAGAATATACATTCTTTTCAAGTGCACATGGGGCATTCTCAAAGACAGACCACATGTTAGGACACAAACTAAGTCTCTACAAGTTCACGAAGACTGAAATCCTATCAAACATCTTCTCGTATCACAATAGCATGAAACTAGAAATCAATTACAATAAAAACACTCAAAATCATTCAAACACATGGTGACTAAATAGCATGTCATTAAGTAATGACTGGGCTACCAATGAGATCAAAGAAGAAATAAGAACCTTCCTGGAAACAAATGAAAATGAACACAAAACAACCCAAAATCTATGGGACACAATGAAAGCAATCCTGAGAGGAACATGCATAGCACTACAGGTCTACCTCAAGAACAAAGAAAGTCCTCTAATAAACTATCTAACCCTACAACTTAAAGAATTAGAAAGAGAACAAGAAAAGCCCAGAGTAAGTAGAAGGAAGGAAATAATAAAGAAGAGAGGGGAAATAAGACATAGAGACTAAAACAAACAAACAATCCCCCAAAAGATCAATGAAACTAAGAGCTGGTTCTTTGAAAATACAAACAAGATTGATGAATTTTCAGCCAGACTCACCAAGAAACAAGGAGAGAGGACCCAAATAAATATCATCAGAAATGAAGAGGTGAAGTAACAACTGACACCACAGAAATATAAAGGATTTTAAGAAAATATTATGAACAGTTATATGCCAACAAGCTGGACAACCTTGATGAAATGGACAAATTCCTAGAAAAATACAATCTTCTAAAACTGAATCAGGAAGCAGAAAACCTGAATAGGCCAATAACAATTGATGAAATTGAAGCAGTAATTAAAAAAACTCCCACCAAACAAAAGCTCTGGTCTGAACAGCTTCACAGGGGAGTTTTACCAAACATGCAAATAAGAACTAACACCTATCCTCCTCAAACTATTCCAAAAAATCCAAGAGAGCCCTGGCCAGTTTGGCTCACTGGTTAGAGCGTTGGCCTGCGGTCCAGAGAGACCCGGGTTTGGTTCCCGCTAAGGGCACGTACCTTGGTTGTAGTTTGTCCTCGGCCCTGGTTGGGTTGTGTGGGTGGCAACCACTCGATGTGTCTCTTTCATGTCAATGTTTCTCTCTCTCTTTCTTCCTCTCTCTCCCTCCTACTCTGAACAACCAGGGCCAGGGACAAACTGCAACAGAGGTACATGCCCTTAGCAGGAACCAAACCCAGGTCTCTCTGGACTGCAGGCCGATGCTCTAGTCGCTGAGCCAAATTGGCCAGGGCCTAGTAACCATTTTTGATAAAAACTCTCAGAAAAGTGGGACTAGAAGGATCATATACCAACATAATAAAAGCCATATATGACAGCCCTACATCATTATCAATAGGCAAACACTAAAAACATTTCCCCTAAGGACAGGAACAAGGCAGGGATACCTGCTTTCGCCACTCTTACTCATCATAGTACTGGAGGTCCTAGCCCCAGTGATTAGATAAAAAGAAAAAACAAAAGGCATCTAAATTAGAAAGGAGGAAGTAAAACTTTCATTATTCAAAGATGACATGATATTGCACACAGAATACCCTAAAGACTCCACCAAAAATCTACTAGATTTAATTAATGAATTTGGCAACATAGCAGGATACAAAATTAACACCAAGAATTTGATGGCATTTTTATACCAATAATGAACTATCAGAAAGAGAAACTAAGGAAGTAATCCCAATTACCACTGCAACAAAAAAATTAAGACACTTAGGAGGTAAAAGACCTGTACTCAGAAAACTATAGGACATTGAAAAAAAGAGAGAGAGGAATAATATACCATGTTCACCAATAGGAAGAATTAACATCATTAAAATGTCTGTACTACCCAAAGCAATCTATCAATTTAATGCGATCCCTATTAAAATACCAACAGCGAATTTCAGAGATCTAGAACAAATACTCCAAAAATTTATATGGAACCAAAAAAGATCCCAAATCGCCACAGCAATCTTGAGAAAAAAGAACAAGGTAGGAGGGGTCACAATACCGGATATCAAGTCATACTACAAAACAGCCTGGTACTGGCACAAGAACAGGCATATAGACCAATGGAACAGAACAGAGAACCTAGAAATTGACCCAAGCCATTATACTCAATTAATATTTGACAAAGGAGACAAGAGCATACACTGGAATAAAGACAGTCTCTTCAATAAATGGTGCTGGGAAAATTGGACAAGTACATGCAAAAAAATGAAACTGGAACATCAACTTACACCATACACAAGAATAAACTCAAAATGGATAAAATACTTAAATGTAAGTCATGAAACCATAAAAATCCTACAAGAAAATGTAGTCAGCAAAATTTCAGGTAACAGAATTTTCACCGAAACATTGCCTAGGGCAAGAGAAACAAAGGAAAAAATTAATACATGGGACTACATCAAACTAAAAAGATTCTGCACAGCAAAAGAAACCAGCATCAAAATGAAGAGGGAACCCACCCACTATTTGTGAGAACATATGTGCCAATGATACATCTGATAAGGGGTTAATTTCCAAAAAACATAAAGTTCTCCTACAACTCAATGAAAGGAAGATAAAAAACCCAGTTAAAAATGAGCAGAGGACCTGAACAGACACTTCTCTAAACAGGACATACAAATGGCCAAGAGACATGAAAAAATGCTCCAAGTCACTAATCATCAGAGATGCAAATTAAAATGACAATGAATTACCACCTCACAGTGACCAGAATGGCTACCATTAATAAGTCAACAAACAACAAGTACTGTTGAGGATATGGAGAAAAGGGTGCACTGCTGGTTGAACTGTAGACTGGTTAGCCACTATGAAAAACAGTATGAAATTTCCTCAAAAATTAAAAATCGATCTGCCTTTTGACCCAGTGATCCCACTCCTAGGAATATATCCTAAAATCCTAAAACACTAATCAGAAAGAACATATGCACCCCTATGTTCAGAGCAGTGCTATTCACAAAAGCAAAGATCTGGGAACAGCTTAAGTGTTCATCAGTAGATGAGTGGATAAAAAAGCTGTGGTACACATACACAATGGAATACTATGCAGGTAAAAAAGAAGTATCTATTACCCTTTGAAACAGTATAGAGGGACCTGGAAAGTATTTACGCTCAGCAAAATAAGCCAGTCAGAGAAAGACAAGTATCATGACATCATTTATATGTGAAATCTAATGAACAAAATAAACTGATGAATAAAACAGAAATAGAAGCATGGAAACAGAACAGACTGACAAATGTCAGAGGGAAGGATGGGGGTTGGGAAGAGATTAACCAGGGAATTTCATGTTTATATGCATTACCCATGTCACAGACAATATGATGGTGAAGTCCTGGGATGAGATGGGAACCAGAAGGAAGGCAACCGGGGGTGGGGGGAGGGGTGGCGCACGGTGCGACGACATCTGGAATACTAATAATAAAGATTTTATTTAAAAAAAGAAGGAACAAAATGTAGTCCCAAGGTATCTGGGTAGAATCAGGTAACAATATACAAGGCTACTCTGTGGCCCTGCAAAAATTAACATCTTTCACTGTTAGCCAGTGAAAATTAGATCCCCAAAGTGAATACTGATCATATTCTACTTAACTTGAGGGGCTCAACTTCTTAACTTACCAGTGTTCATTTATTTTTATGTATTATAGCTAATATATGTTATATGTATTCTTTGTATATTTTCAAATATGCTATAAAACTTTCTGCCAAATATTTTATAATAAATATGGACACTAAATTGCATATATATATATATTTTTTAAATAACATTTTTTCTTTATTGACTTCAGAGAGAGAGGAAAGGAGAGAGAGAGAAATATTGATGAGAGAGAACATCAACTGGTTGCCTCCCGCATACCCCTCACTGGGGCTGAATCAGGCCAACAACCTGGGCATGTGCCCTGACCAGGAATGGAACCGGCAACCTCTTGGTGCATAGGTTCACGCTCAACCAGTGAGCTATACTAGCTGAGTTTTATATATATATATATATATATATATATATATATATATATATATTTTTATTACATTGCAAAGTGTATTTAGATACAAAATAAATTTCTCTTATGAATGTACTATATTAAAGATGGCTTAGGATGAATAGATCGACAGATAATATAACAAAAATAAATATATTAAAATAGTAAAGTTAAAAATTTAGGTGCTGAGTATACAAGGGTTCACTGTAAAATTCTTTCAACTTTGCTATTATATATTTCATCATGATAAAATAGTAGGGAGGCAGATCGTCTAGGCTATCACAAATTACCTCTCTATTCACTTATGAAAGTAATACAAACGGCATTTACTTTTGGCTACCTGTGGGTGTCTTCTCCAGAGATAAAGTCACAGGAACAATCTAAGTATCAATTTACTGTCTTTTAATCCTATTGTCTTGGTTTGGAAATATATTCAATTCTTATAATCCAATCACTACAATGTGGGCTAAAACAAGTTATTAAAGCTCCTGTATGTTTATACCAACCTTACAAGCTGTATTACTGGATAACGTGTTTGGTTCCATACAATTCCTTTGAGATAACAATACTTTTTTAATACGTCTTTGAAGTTTCGCTATTTTTGCCTAAAAGAGAAAAACGAATAAATATGAAACTAGAGTACTAAATAATATACCATATAAAGATGGAGGAAGAACTTTGCCAAAGTACTTCTGAAAGACTTAACTATCCACTGAAATAAATGAGAAATTCTTACACAAGTCAGAGATTTAAATCACGTCTGATATATCGTCTGACTGAACAGCTAAAGATGTGGTACATATACAATGGAATACTACTCAGCTATTAAAAAAGATGAAATATTGCCATTTGTGACAACATGGATGAACCTTCAGGATGTTATGTAAAGTGAAGTAAGTCAGACAGAAAAGGGCAAAATTGTATTGATTTCACTCAAACAAACAAAACAAAAAACAAACTCTTAGATAGCAAAAGATGGTGACTGCCAGAGGGGAGGAAGGGTAGAGGAGGGTGAAATGGGTAAAGGGGGTCAAATGTACAATGATGGCTGGAAACTAGACTTTTGGTGGTAAGTACACTACAATGTATACAGATACTTAATTATAATGTTGTTCACCTAAAACTTATGTCATAAACCAATTTTAATTCAATAAAAAAATTCTTACTGGATGCTAAAATGACATTCTAGAATGGGAGATAAAAATATTGAACTTCTAATTGGTCTAAAATAAAATTAATGTTGGTAGAAACACCAATCAGCAAGTAATGTTAGAATAATACTTCCCCCGCCCCAAACCTATGAAACTGATTATACAAGCTCTAATACAGAATCTATTTTTAATTAAAAGAAACTGCCTACATATTAAGCCTGCCAATATCAGAATAGCTGATATTTCTAAAATTATCTGTCAAAGGCCAACATTACTGATATATAATGAATTCTTTATCTGTAAAAATCTGGTAGATCGGGCTTGTAGCCAGGGATCATATTTGGGTCTGCCTTTAGTTTTCCTTTCCTAACATATAAAATATCACCAATTTATACTTTATAAAAGGACTCAAATGAAATCAAATGAAATTAGAAACTTACGAAGAGTTCATCAGCTATTGCTTCATGTTTATTCCTGCACTGTGTCTTCCCAATGCGTTCGGTCAATTCTCTCAGTTTGTTATCAAATAGTTTGTAATTTATACTATAGATCTCCTGTCGAATCAAATGTTTGACCTAGAATTTTAAAATAAAAACCAAAACACCCCACATTTCAAGCTTAAAAACAATTTTATTTTTTACTTCTTAAAAATAGCTTTTGTTCTTTTCTGGATTTTATGTAACCAATATTTTTATGTTTATATTTATATTAATATACCAGTAAGTTTTATAGAAGTTGAATATCAAATTCAGCAGAACACACCTAATAAATTATTCTAGTGCTAATTTTAGTTTCCTATCGTTTCAGTTGAATTCCATAATACTTACATATTAAAGGAACAATAAAAGTCTATATCCCACTTATATTTTTTAATGATCATAACTTAAACCTACTAGTCCATAAAAAGAAACTCCACATATCTGAAAACCAGAACCCAATGAAAATGGTTGGTTGGTCTGTAGCAGAGATGGAGCAAATTATAAAAATTTGAACCTAACCCTGCCATGAACAGCTATATGACCTTTGAAAAGTCACAACATCTCTGAGTTTCACATTCCTTGTACACAAATACAATAATGAATGAGTGATGCTCATAGGATTTTAATAAAAACATAAAAAGACAACATGTGAAAGAGCTCCATAAGATGGAAAACACTGAATTGATATGAAGAAAATAAATATACAATACAATCTCTTTTATTTGCATAGTCTTTTAGGGGATGACTTTCTTATTGTTAAAATTGAAAAGAGCCAGGGACAATTATGTGGTGACTAATGTTATCTGCCATAACACATGCTATTCTAGCAAATCATAGTAGCTCTAACATGAAACAGTGATGCAATTCATTATCTGTTTTTTCAAAAACAGACCGGCCTATTTTCAAGAAGCATAATTAATCTCAATGCCCACTAACATGATAGCTCTGATTAGCCATTCAGAAATATGCATTGTAGTGACTTACTCATTGTATACAATCTTGTAAGCAACTTTCATAACAGTTAAGCAGTCTGTCTTAATAACAAAACCTGCCATAATACATTTAAAGTATTTAATAGTAATATTTACAACTTTACCCTAATATCTTGCTTCTTGGTGCTCAAAATTGGAACATAGAGTTTCTATGTTAAACTCTTTTATACTGACATCACCTGGATGATTAGTCATATTCAGTAATTTTATTTGATCATTCCCAAGGTTTTTCCTTCTCATTTTCAATTGTTCTTACTCTTCAACACTATTTTCTACATAATTTCTTCTGTAATGTTTCATTAACATTTCTTCAATAGTTTCTCAACATTAGACACAATTGTCCTTATTTTCACAACTTTTAAATATTTGATTAAATTAATCCGTACTTAAAATGTTATGTAAAATGCTCATAAACACATACTATTTTTACTGACAGTCATTACCTGTCATCCATGCATGCTTATATATTATTGCATCTTGCAAGTTCACTGGCTGAGGTCAGTATGTGTAGTTCATACCCAGATGAACCTTGGAGAAATATCTGTGTGTTTTGAATATGGTAATACTGTTTTGCTAACAAGCAAAGGCCACACAGTATTTGTCAAACTTCCTTGTTTAGGAAGAATTACATGGGTTACTTATTAAAAATCACAAATTCTTGCCCTGCCAGGTGGCTCACTTGGTTGGAGCATCCTCCTGCATACCAAAAAAGGTTGCAGGTTTCATCCCTAGTCGGGGCGAGTACCAGAGGCACTGATGTCTCTCTCTCACTCTCTAAAATTCAATGAGAAACATATCCTCGGGTAAGGATTAAAAAAAAAAAAGCCATGCATTCCTAGGCCCTCCCCTGAATTCATCAAATAGAATTTCCTGGAAAGGGGGATAGAAAGTTATATAATTAACAAGTATCACTAATAATTTTTATCTCTTAAGTTTGAGAAAAGAGCAGCTTAAAACAATAGTCTTTGATTATTAGTGAACTCAAGAAACCAGAATTTAAACAAGTACTCCTAGTGATTCAGATGGAAGCAGACTCTGATAACTTGATTATTTTGGACTAAATGCCCACCAACGGGTAGATTCCCCTTGGTGAAATTGGACATTTGTTTTCATTTAGTAGTGTTGTTCCTCATACAGCAAACAGACACAATAACCTCCACCAAATACTTCATGAATATCTTCTGCCAATAGTAATGTGTTAAAATTATAACATCAGATGGAAGTCCTAGGTACAATTTGCAGCTGGCAGACAAAATGGTCTGAAACCTTCAGCAGCTTTCCTTCTGTTCTGACCCTGCACTAATCACTGGGAATAAGACACAACTATAATACTCAACCTTTTTCTTAAACTAAATCCATGCTTACCATAATTCTGCTACCCCTTCCCTGCAAACAATAGAACATTTAAAGTGAAGAAAGACTGGCAATTATACAGGGTGTCCCCAAAAAATGTATACAGGGTAGCTGTAGACTTTATTACATTTTTAAAATGAAGTATATTTTAATAAACACTGGCTTTATAATTACTTTTTTGTGCATACATTTTTTTGGGACATCATATATATTCCCAATGTGCCTCAACTATCTAAGATAGTGGGTTGAGTGACTAACTTGGATTTTAGAAGAAAAACCCCTCTACTTCAGTAATTTAATTGGAAACAACTGAGCCAAGAAGATCCTTATGAAATATCAAAAGAAGAGTCAACGGCTCCAGGACTCTCTCAGTAGGGAAGAACAATATCAAAATGGGAGGCCCTATTCCACTAGGATTCAAACAAGAAAAACAAACAGATGTGGTTTAGAAAGTTTACTGTTTGGACAGAAATCAAAATATTTAAGTGAGAGTAAGCTAGCCTAGCTATTTAGAGTAGTAAAAATATAGGAATTAGTTAAAACCCAAGTTGCCTCTATAGAATGTGCAAGACATTCCAGGTAGGGAATGGGAGGGAAGATTAAAAAAAAACTCCATTCTCTAAATGTCACTGGGAAGGACTATTTTCTGTGTCAACTTGGACCAACTATTTTGTGAGGCAGATAATAGCACATGAAAACCTTGATTTTTCCATGCCAGTGAAATTGAAACTTTTAAAGATTAAATTTGTCTTTATATATCCATATCAGACCTTATTTCTCAATTAAGCTACTAATTGTAACATCACCAAGGGAGGAACGAATGAGGCCAAAGTGATGCAGAAACAGAACTTTATTTAGGGTATCTGCAAGGCAGACAGGCTGGGTCAAAAAATGGCGTTAGCCCCAAACTACGAAGGGGGATCTGCTTATATAGGGTAGATGTTTACAGCCTCTAGGCCCGGGGTCTCATCACACTTATCCAGCCATTGCAATGTCTTCATTCTGCCTGTGTAGGATGTGTCCGGCAGGCACGCCAGTGTCTGGTCTGGCAGGCGTGTTCCAAAGATAAGGAGAAGAAACCCAGGCACATCTGTGCCTATTCTAGAAATAGGGGGAAGAAACCTTGAAACCTTCAGCAGCTTTCCTTCTGTTCTGACCCTGCACTAATCACTGGGAATAAGACACAACTATAATACTCAACCTTTTTCTTAAACTAAATCCATGCTTACCATAATTCTGCTACCCCTTCCCTGCAAACAATAGAACATTTATATATTTTTTATTAGTGTCTTTTTTGGTCTTCCTGGAAGAAAGCAAGAGGTAGAAAGGGAAAAACTGCTGACTGTCTCTTCTGTTAAGCTGATTCTGCTTCTGTCTTTCAAAAAGGTTTCCAGGTATTATGTGAATACACATTCATATATATGTAACTATATTGTAATGGTCTTCTTTAGAAATCAGTAGTGTTCTGATACAGTTAGCAGGATAGCCCTGGCCGGTTTGGCTCAGCGGTTAGAGCGTCGGCCTGCGGTCCTGAGAGACCCGGGTTCGGTTCCCGCTAAGGGCATGTACCTCGGTTGCAGTTTGTCCCCGGCCCTGGTCGGTTGTGCGGGTGGCAGCCACTCGATGTGTTCCTTTCGCATCGATGTTTCTCTCTCTCTCTCTCTGTTCCTCTCTCTCCCTCCCACTCTACCTGAACAAAAAATGGAAAAATGTCCTCCGGTGAGGATAAAAAAAAAACAAAAAAAAACAGTTAGCAGGATAGTTTGAATTGGGACATTTTTGTTCCATTACAGCTGACAGACATTAATTTACTACTTAATGACTTTTAGTTGTGGCCTTCTAGTGGTCAATACAATAAAATAACAAAACAAGATGATCAAAACAGGACCTACTAAATTGAAGCTCATTACACTTAAACTCAAGAGTTGATTAGACATGTATGGAAATTGTAATACAATGAGATGAAATCAGGCGAAAATGAAAGCAAAACATGCATTTAATGATACTATCAAGCAAAATGTCAGATAATACAGCATATCTGTGTAAATTTGAAAATTAGGGCAAGTGAACTTGAATGTAATGAACTTCTGGGTTGTCTGAGTCCATGAAATAGTCATCAATTGTGATAATGTCTACAAACAGCTAAAAATGCAGACCAAAGAACCGCAAAGTAGATTTTCCAGCAAAGCTCAAGGTCATGCAGTATCTGACTCACAAAAAGATTTGAATGTAATATTAACTTCTGGGTTGTCTGAGTCCATGAACTTCTGGGTTGTCTGAGTCCATGAAATAGTCATCAATTGTGATAATGTCTACAAACAGCTAAAAATGCAGACCAAAGAACCGCAAAGTAGATTTTCCAGCAAAGCTCAAGGTCATGCAGTATCTGACTCACAAAAAGATTTGAATGTAATATTAAATGCAAAGCCCATTCTCTTTCTACCACAGCACTCTATCTAGGTTACTCTGCATAGGATCATTTTCAAGAAACTAGACTTAGTTTGGTAATGTAAATAATCATCTTCTCCTAATACCTCCATATGCTAATTCAGTTTTCATATACCTGCTTTACATCAAGTGCAAGTCATCTATACTAGGTTATTGTGGAGATTAACTTTTACCATTTTTTACTAATCAAAAGTAAAAGTTTCTGAAACAAATATTTAAGTTCCAATATTTTACCTGTTCCAGAAATGCTGTTTGCTTTTCCAGAGCTACACAAATATTTTCATTAATTTGCTCTGAAGTTTTCATGCGCTTAACATTTTCTTTGTTTTCTGAAAACATCCTCTTCTTTTCATTATGGCCTTAGGGAGATGGAAAGATCAGAGATAAAAATATTCTTTCGAAGAAAACAGGGCAATTCTGTAATTTAGGGATCCTCTAAGCAAAGAAAAAACTAAAATGTGACCACTGGCAGCATTTTTAGAAAATGATATTGTATAAAGTATTGCAAAAAAAATCTAATTAAAAACAAACAAACGAAAAGAATATCCTACGTAGGGTTCTAGTCTCAGATATACTTTGCCTTCAATCCTATTTAATACACATTTTATATTATTTAATACTAAAAAAAACCTGAATAAACAATAGCATTTAACTTTCTATTTACAGTTACTTAAGTAGTTACAATATTTTTATAAACATTGTTACTTAGGCAGTTCTACATATTTTTAATAGAGCTTATTTTTACCAATTTAAAATTCACCTTATTAAATGATCTCTCTGTAGCCTAAACAAGAACACAAAATTTATCCTATAAAATCAGTTTTTTCTTATATTTCATTAACCTACAAAAACATCCTACTTCTAATGAAATATACATTAGCTATGTTAACGATTTTATGCATTTCTCTCTCACTCTACACACATACATGTATGTGCTTATATATGTGTATATATTCTTATTATTGATCAACTCTTATTTGGCATATGATTTACAGGTCAATTCTATGAAAACAAAAATAGGTTCATCAACAATTTAAAAATCCACCCTCTCTTTCAACTAGCTTCCTATTAATCTAATAAATAAAACATCAAAATAAGAAAATATGTAGATGAAATAAACCAAACAAATGCCATAAACCACCCTTTGACTTTTCTGTACTCTAAGGAAAAGTGACTGATTTCTTGACAGAATTTACTTCCCTTTGGATATAGAGGACACCATTTCCCCTTTCCACCAAGAATGGTTCAGAAAAATGATACTCAAATTATTGTCATTGTTTACTTATCTATACAGGGTATGGCAAAAGTAGGTTTACATTTGTGAGTACATGAAATAGTTTATTCCTGTATAATTATTAATTCTTGTATTTTCTTCCATATGAGCAACTATAAACCTATTTTTGCCCCACCCTGTATATACTCGACTGTTTCTATATCTGAGACTATACAATTCCCCAAAAGAAAGTGATTATTTTGATTTCCCCAAAAGGTGTACAAGCATACACTTACTGTTATTATTATCGGTGTCAAGTGATGACAACCATGTTGAGTTTGTATTTTCACCATTTAAAATGCTGGAATAACAAGTTCTACAGGATTCTTCACCTTTCAAACTGTCAGCAGTACTAGAAATGACTGAATTCACTGCCGTAGGTATTTTATCAACAGGCACAAAATAGGTGTCTGAACTTAAAATCAAAATGTCATTTTGCCTTTTATCTTGTGATGCAGAATTGGAGTTTATTTCTAAATGGGAAACCATCTTGTCAATTCTGTTATCATTCAAGGTACTGATTACTGCAGAATTTGGCATTAGAACTATACCACTCAATATACTACAGGGATTACTAAGGGATTTCAGATTACAATCCTCTTTGTATTGTTCTAAAAAGGATCCTGTTACATTTGTCTTGTTACAGTTCTCAGAAGTGTTGTGTGATTCTTTTGCCTCTTGTATAGACAGTTTCCTGGGAGATTCTTTTGATTTACTTGGCTTTTGATAAGGGCATACAACTTGTTCTTCAACGTACTGCAATCTTGTTTCCAAATCAAATTCTAGTGGTTTTATTAAGTTCTGAGAAAAAACTTTACTTTTTTGTGAGCATGCTGAGTCCAATGAGGAAGCATCATATTCGGAATGTCTACATTTGTTATTTATGACACCAACACTTGAATTCTGATTTTCACTTGACACATTATTCCCAACTGCTGTTTTCAGTGCTTCAACATTCTTTGACTTATTAAGGATCTCTATTTGTTTCCGGCAACTGGAAGGCATTGTTTTTCTGGCTTTTAATATCTTCCGTTTACTTCTATCTGGACTTGCCATCTTTCGTACCCTAGAATTTAAGATACCGTATTTAAATGCATTTCTCCAGCACACAAAGCTAACATTTATTTAAAACAATGTTGAGACTATCTCTTCATTAGAAAATTATTTTTATTGAAAACACGTGTTACTAAAATACACAATTTCAATTTCTTTCTATAAATCTAAACTATATAAATTAAAAATTTATATTGCCAGTAACTTGTTACTAAGCCTGATAATTTATCTGGCCACTTTTATAATATTTCACTGCTATAACCATTAACTTCTGGTTTAAATAATCTAAGCAAGCCATACTTCAGATAATCTAAGATTAAGATGCATTTGTTCATAAAAGCAAAAAACAATATTTTGTAGAGAACATTCCATTTTCTACACACAGTGGCACTTTTCTTTTTTTAATCCTCATCTGAGGATAATTTTCCCCTTCATCTTCAGATAGAGTGGGAGAGAGGGAGAGAGAGAGAAACATCGACATGAGAAGGACACATCAACTGGCTGCTTCCTGCGACCCCAACCAGGGCTGGGGACAAACTGTAATCAAGGTACTTGCCCTTGACCAGAAATCGAACCTGTGACTCATTGGTCTGCAGGCCAACGGTCTAACCACTGAGCAAAACCAGCCAGGGCACATAGTGGCACTTTTTAAAAGCTTTCCTAAGATTCACATTTTCAAAATAAATGGTACTGCAGGAGTAATTACCAATAGTCATGAGTATAAAATGAGCACTAAGCTACACAACATGATGTCAGTTAAAATAAGAAAAGCACTTTAGGTTTTACAATACTTAATTCTTGATTCTCATACTACACAGCAAAGAAATATTTTAGTATTTATCTCTCAGTGTCCACATCAACTTTGATCTAAACCATGGACAGGTAAATGGTTTCAGAGAAAAGAATATTGCTCTTTTTTGCTGCTTGTCTGCTGCCATCATGGGTCACATACATGCTCTCAGAAAGGGCCTGCCCTAGTAAGCTCTGCCCTGACACTATAGCATCCCTACCTGGTTGAATCTGACTTGTGATGATGTGAAACAGCAGATTTACACACTGGCCAAGAAGGGGCTGACTCTCACAAATCAGTGTTATCCTGAGAGATTCAAATAGCATCGTACAAGTGACAGTCAACACAACCTTGAGAATTCTTAAGTCAAAAAGATTTGCTCCTGATCTTCCTGAGCATCTCTACCATTTAATTAAGAAGTCTATTGTTATTCAAAAGTATCTTGAGAGGAACATAAAGAAAAAGGATGTTAAATTCTGTCTGATTTTGATCCAGAGCCATCCATATTCACTGGTTGGCTTAATATTATGAGACCAAATGAATCCTCTGCAACTGGACATATGCGACATCCATAGACTGCCATAGTTGCATAAATTTGTCTTTGCACTCAAGCAATAAAATCATTGTTTAATTACAAAAAAAAACTGCAATATTTTCAGTTAAGATGGAGAAATAGCTAAATGCTATGTTTGCCTCCTCCCATTATCACATCAAAATTACAACTAACTTACTCAACAACCAGCACTGAGAACTACCTGAAGATTAGCTGAACAGAAGTCCTAGAACCAAATATATAAAGAATGAGACTGGTAGAAGGAGCAGGGATGTGGTATGGGCAGGTCCCACATTCACTGTGTAGATATTAAGAATCAGAAGAATATCTCAGCTGTGGATGTCACCCCCCACCTACCCCCGCAGGAGTGAGGGGTACCAGCCCCACACCTGGCTCACCAGACCAGGGCAAAAGTGACAGAAAGAGGAGTACCCATAACCAGTCCTAGGAGTCCCTTTTGAGCACTCCCCCCCCCCGCCCCCCAACTCACTCACTCCTTCTGTGCTTCAGCGCAGGGACAGGGACATAAAGAGAGGAGCTGAATTGACTGGCTTCAGGGCATGTGCTTGAAGGTCAGGGGTCAGAGCAGCTCTCTCTGGGGATGGAAATGCTGGCAGGCCACTGATCCTTTGTTCAGTCTTAATCTCATACAGTTTGCAGGCACAGGCAGGTGCCAAATCTGAGCTCTCCATTAATTTGGCTAACAATGTTTACCCAGCCCTGGTGATTTCTTGAAATGCTGTCCCACCCAGCCTGAGCTGCTACAAGGGGCTTTTTCACAAGTGGCACTGTGCTGTGGAGTTTCCTGAAAGGCCTATAAACTGCAAACGAACAGCAGCTGGATTCATCCTACCCTGTACCTGTTGCTAAGTAGCCCCAAGGCTGGTACAAATGATGACTGCTCTCAACTTGCACTGTGACTTCCATCAGGTGGCTCTAAGCCTGTTATAAAGCTGTGACCAGTGTTGGCTTAATATTCAACTAAGCAGCCAGAAACCCAACAGAAGCAGCAGGTGGCTTCAGCTCACATTATGGTGACCAGACCAAAGCATCCCAAGCCTGGCACTAGTAGCAGCCAACTTCAGATCACAGCATAGCCTCTCTCAAGAGCCTCCAAACCCAGCACAAGCAGCAACCAGCAGCAGATCACTTTATAGCATCTACGTACCTTGGGTGCCCAAGCTGGGCACAATTAACTGCTGAATTTGGTCTGTATCAATGCCCTTCCCAAGAGGCTCCTGAAACAACACAATTGGTTGCCAGCTTTGATACCACACCTGAGCACCATTCAACCAGCTCCACAAACACATATCCAAAAGGTAAACTTGGCTTGCACCAGGGCCCTGTTAATGAGACTCTTCTCTTGGAGTGTGGGAGGGACAGGGAATGGGGGGGCGGGGCAGAGGGGGGGCTAGCCCCTAAACAACAACGTGTATGCTATAGTCACTACCAGTCCTCAAAGCCAGAAAGCCCAATGGTCAATCAAACCCACTGATGTACCAAAAACAATCAAGACTCAACTACAATAGGAGGGCACACACAACCCACACAAGGATACTTCTTGAGAACATAGCTAAGGTGAATAGGGAGTCTGCGTCAATGGGCCTCACAAGTCACCTACTACATAAGGCCATTCTGTCAAGATCAGGAGATTGTTGCAGATCTACCTAATATACATAAATAATCACAGTGAGTCAGCCAAAATGGGGGGACAAACAAACATGTCCCAAATGAAAGAAAAGGGTAAAATTCTAGAAAAGGAACTAAATTAAACAGAGACAGGCAATCTGCAAGACAGTTCAAAACACCAATTACAAGAATGCTCAATGAACTTACTGGAAGAATAGATAAATTCAGTGAAATCTTCAACAAAGAGATAGCAACCATTAAAAAAAAAAAAGAGTCAGAAATGAAGAATATATTAGAATCAATAGCAGATTAGATGAAGCAGAGGATCAAATCAGCAATCTGGAGAAATGGTAATGGAAAACACCTAATCAGAACAGCTAAAAGAAAATTAATGAAAAAAAAAATGAGGATAGCTTAAGGGCTCTCTGGGAAAACATCAAGCATACCCACATTCATATCATAGGAGCACCTGAAGAAAAAGAAAGAGCAAGCAAGGGATTGAAAACCTATTTGAAGAAATAATGACTGAAAACTTCTCTAACCTAGTGAATGAAATAGACATACAAGTTCAGGAACTGCAGAGTCCCAAACAAGTTGAACTCAAAGAGTGCCACACCAACATATATCATAATTAAAATGTCAAAGGTTAAAGACAAAGAGAGAATCCTAGGAGTAGCAAGAGAAACAAAGTTAGTTATGAACAAGGGAGCTCCCATAAGATAGTCAACTAATTTTTCAAAAGAAACAATGTAGGCCAGAGAGAATGGCACAACATATTAACAGTGATGAAAAGCAAAGAACTATAACCAACATAACTCTACCCTGCAAAGCTATCATTTAGAATTGAAGAAGATATAAAGAGTTACCCAGACAAAAAAAAGCCAAAGCAGTTCATCATCATGAAATCAGTATTACAAGAAATGTTGAAGGGATTTCCCTAAGTAAACAAGATAAAAAGTAATAATAAGACAATATAGCAAAGAAAAAAATTTTCACAAAGCAAAACGTTTAGTAAATACAGTAGATCAACCAACTGTAAAGCTAAAACAAACCTTAAAAGACAAAAGTAGAAAGCTCAGGTATAAATGCAATAAATTAAGGAATACCCACAAACACATGCACAAAAGAAGTAAAATGATGACAAAACATACAAATGGAAAGCGTAACAATTGTAGTGATTTTAGAATGTGTTCAAGCAGGTTACAAGAGACTATTGTAAACAGCTTGGTATATATAAACTACATGGTAACCACAAACCAAACATCTATAAGAGATACACAAAAATCAAAGAGAGAGGAATCCAAATGCCCAAATGCAACACTATTAAAGTCATCAACATACAAGAGAAGTGAGCAAGAGGATAATAAAGTGAAAACTACAAAAACAATCAGAAAGGAGTTAAGAAAATGGCAACAACTACAGACCAATAAACAATTACTTTAAAATGTAAACGGACTAAATGCTGCAATAATAAAAAAAAACAAAACAGAGGGTGGCTAAATGGGTTAAAAAAAAAAGTCTTGTACATAAGCTACCTACAAGAGAACCACTTCAGATCAAAAGACACACAGGCTGAAGGTAAAGGGATGAAAAAAAATATTTTGTGCAAACACAACATCAGCAACAAAAAGCTGGGGCAGGGTTACTTACATAAAATAGACGTTAAAACAAGGACTGTAATAAAGAGACAGAGAAGGGCATTTCATAATGAGTAAGCAATCAATCCAACAAGAGGACATAACTCTTGTAAATATCTATAAATCCAATGTAGGAGCATCTAAATATATAAAGCAAACATTAACAAAGGGAGAGACTGACAGTAATAGTCATAGTGGGAGACTTTAATACCCCAATGACATCAATGGATGGATCATCCACACAGAAAATCAATAGGGAAACAGTGGCCTTAAATGACAATAGACCAGATGGACTTAATTTATATTATTAGGACCATTTCCCCCAAAGCAGTAGACTATACATTCTGCTCAAGTGTACACAAAACATTTTCCAGGATACACCATATGTTACCAG